TTTGCTAACTTTAACTTAAGCATCTGTTTTACTTTACAGATATTATTATTTTTTTTTTTAGGGATGCACGATGTTGGATTTTTGGCCGATATCCGATATGCCGATATGTTAAAACTTATTCAGCTGATAAACGATGCCTATACCGATATTGTATGTACGTTCCTTTGTCAGAATATAGCATCTTATTTAGGCTTATTTGCTACAAAAAATGTGCAACAGCTGTAAGAGTTGGTGACATAACAGCCATATGATATGCATAACGCTTTAACTGATATTAAATGAAAAGTGTTAAATGTTATTTATTATCATTAGTCACCTGCAATGCTGTCTCACATGTGGAGGCTTGTTCCAGGTTCCTATAGCTGCAGTGTTGGATCCTCTGCACTCCTGTGCATGAAGGACAGACTTTTTAAGTTCAAAGTTTTTGTCTATCCATTGTGCCGTAAGACTAATCATGCTAACGGGGCTAACACGACGTCCATATGTCTGTGGTAAAAACTCACCCAACAAGTCGTGCTATCGGCTATTAGCTTCTCAATGACGTTGGAAATGACGGCTCGTAACTCGAGTAACATTAAGTCGGACAAATATCTCCAACTGGGGACGATGTAGCGAGGCTCAACGTAGTCCATAAATCTTCGGAATCCGACATCCTCACCAACGAAAAATAAAACTTCCACAACGCCGATTTTTTAAATTTTCTTCTCCGCCATGAGATCGGGTAGGCGCACGTGACATTGTTGTGCTGCCGCTGCAACGTCATCACGTTGTACTGCCTCTGCAGGCAAAAACAGCGCCTTTTATATTTCCAAGTTATTTTAATGGAATGTCCGATATTGAGCTTTAATGCCGGGCGATACCGATACCATGCTTTCATCACAACTCGTCTGGACTATTGCAGTTCACTTTATGTGGGTCTGAGCCAGTCATTACTGACTCGACTTCAGCTGGTTCAGAACGCTGCTGCTCGTCTTTTAACTGGCACCAGAAAGCAAGAGCACATCACCCCCCTCTTAAAATCGCTACACTGGCTCCCAGTTCGCTTCCGGATTAATTTTAAGGTTCTTTTGTTTGTATTCAAATGTCTTCATGGCCTCGCCCCACTGTACCCGTCCGACCTTCTCCGGCCGTACATACCCTCACGCTCTCTTAGATCAGCTGATCAGCTGCTGTTGGCCGTCCCAAAGTCCAACAGGAGGCTGAAAGGTGACCGAGCGTTCTCAGTCGCTGCCCCTAAACTGTGGAACGAGCTGCCTCTGCACGTCAGACAAGCTGACTCACTTCCTGTTTTTAAATCTGCTTTGAAGACTCGTTTTTTTCTCTTTGGCTTTTAACGCAGCTTGAAATGTTGGCATTACTATTTTATGTTATTTGTTTTATTGTTGTTACTGTTTGCTGTTTTATGATTTGGTAGTTCATTACTTTATATTTGTTGAGTTCATAGTTTTTATGCTTGTATGTGTTAGTGTACAGCACTTTGGCCAACAGTGTTGTTTTAAAGTGCTTTATAAATAACGTTGTATAGTATCGTATTGTATACCATGCCGATAATATCGTGCATCCCTATTTTTTTTATTATCTTAGCTGTTGTTTCTTTCTGCTTCTATGTTTGAGTGTGCATAAAAAAAAATCTACCTGTTCTCTAACTTTCAGTTTTACCTACTTTGATTTTATTTTCCTAACGTGTAGTTTAACTTGAAGATATTGCAAAAATTCTCTGTGAAGCATCTATTTTCTACAGCCAAGTGCCTTTCCATCCGTAGTAGAGCAGCAGATGAATAGCTTGATGAAAATCTGAGTAAAAGGCAGCACATTCAAGGCTGCACATTTACGCAGTAAACAACTCAGCGTCTCTCCTGCACACCCACCCACCTCCTGTCTTCAGTGTCTAAACATGTGTCAAGGTGAAGTGTTTGCACTCTTCTGTTGTTTAATATCGACTCAGCTGACGCTTCAGTCTCTGGTAACCACCGTTTCCATTGTACACTTGTTTGCCCATTAGCATTCAGAGTGGGTAAAAACGACTTGACCTTCTCTTGCGAGAAAGAAACGTGAAGTTTTAATTGACTTCTTTCTCCATTCTTGGTCTTATCAGTGCAATATATGAATACCCTCATCTCACACTTTGGTGTGATCTTTATTGTGCCAGTGTGACAGATACGTCTTTTTGTTCGCACTACACCATCTCGTCTGTTCGCACACATTTTACCGTTAAAGGATAATATTTAAACAGGGTTACTGAACATTAATTGGTTTGTTCATCCTTTTGGTAGATCAAAGTTTCGTCAGTGTGGCGGCATGAATGGAAGTCGATGTCACTGCTTCTTTCACGCTCATCTTCAGTGTGTTGAACTCCAAATAAGAGCAAATGTGAAACAGACAGTAAATTCAAATAAATGTGTTCATAACAATAATGATGTGACTCTATGGCGTTGTTTTTGACAGTTTTTCTTGATATGTAGTAAAAGCCAATACATATCATGATTATTATTGCCCAGAAAGGCAAAGGCAGACAATGTTTTTTGCTCATGCCGTGTCTAATGTCAAATTATCCTAACGTTAATGTTGCCAAAATAACTTATTAACCACTGGACACAATTTAATTAAATCTGCATGATGTAATTATGAGATGCACTGTCCATCTACTACTGATTAGCTTATGTAATCAGTGCAACTCAAGATGGCTGCCAGAGCTAATCTACATTGGTCAATTAAAAAAATTACTATAACTTCAGCCAATTTTACAGATACTGAGCTAAGGTTTGCTAAAGTAGTAGTAGCTGAGAGTCATCCCTAATGTATATATGTGTATATATATGTGGGGGGTGAGGGGTTACATGTGTGTACATGTATGTGTTTTTTATTTAGTTTTTATTCTTGACATAAGTTCATTGGAGTCCATACTCTGGCGTGAAAGCCAGCAGGCGACATGCATTTCTTCAGCTAATGCTAGTCCTTAAATTTTGATTTGTACTCACCCAGCATTGCCACCAGAACAACCAATGTGGAATATAAAACACAAAGCTGAACGCTTGGCATCTGCCCATTTATCTTGATTTCAGAGAATGGTGCCGTCCTCTTCCATCGGTACTATTCAGCTGAACTGACGAGGATTGATTCTACTAAATACGACCTTTCTGAGGGAGTATATCAAGTGGCTGTGGCCATGAAGTTTTAGGACTGCATGGAGTCATTTGTCTCTTGGGCACTTCTATACAACCACGCTCACTCTACAACCTGGTTTAACATTGATTTCCTTAAAGGCCGTCTACAACAAGATTCATAGACAGTCACATTCAGTGCACAAACACTTTTTTTTGCTTGTACTCCTTGTTTGGTTATCTTTGCGTTATATGTAACTGCATATTTATATGATTCATTTGTAGCTTCATGAAGCACTGAGAGTTTGTACTTTTAACATTGAATCAACAATCATATCAGCTATTATGATAGATGCATAAAGGATACAAACTGCACTGTGTAACCAAAGCAACAGTTGTGTCAGCATCCTTGTCACTAAGTCAGGCTTGGTTCTGATGCAGATTGGACTCTGTCACTGTTGCCCCTGGTCTCCAACAATGTTCGTGGTGTTCATGGACAGGATATTAAGGTGCACTTGTGGAAAGGAGGGAACTTCAGTGTCACATCTCTACTTTTTGCAGATGACTTGGTTTTATAGGCATCTTCAGAGTGCACCGGGGTAGTTTGCAGCAGAGTCTGCTTTTCTATGTCTGAGGCTTTGGATGCCAACCGGAAAAAGGCTAAAGTCTCCCTCTGGGTGGACAGAGAGCTCACATTTCTGGAAGTTCTGTTCATGAGTGATGAGAGGTTGGAGCAGCAGATGGATAAATGAATTGAAACATTGCTTGCAGTTATGAGTGTGTTGTCTTGGACTGTTAGGTTGAAGAAGGTGCTATGCCAAAATTTGACACTCGATTTACTGGTCCATCTATGTTCCAACCCCCAGCCATGTTATAAGGTACGCGTCCTGATCAGAAGAGCAAGATCCTGGATACAAGTGGCTGAAGTGACCAGGCTAACGTTTAGAGATAGGGTGAGGAGCTCCATCATCGAGGGGGAGCTTGTGGAAGAAACGCTGCTCCTTCCATTGAAAGGAGTCAGCTGATGTGGTCCAGGCATCTCATTAGTATGCCTCCTCCTATAAGTTTTCTTGGTGGAACCCAGTGGTAGGAGACATTGCAGACCCAAAGCTTGCTAGAAAAATCCTGCATTATCTCTGGCCTGGGAACACCTTATGATAAGCCCAGGAGGAGTGTAGTGTTGTTGGGGGTAAAGGACCTTTTGCTTCTATGACCTGAACACAGTATAACTTCAGAAAATGAATGGATGAACAAACTGCACTGTATTTACCCTTGGCAATATATTTATGGGCATATTATTGTCAGTTGGTTATTTGGAGTCCACTTGCCCCTTCAGGATTTAGTGGTTTAAGGTCAAGGTTCTGAAAATCAATTTTTATGGTTGCATGTCTTGGTGATAGTTTTGTTATGAATAAATTGTGTTTTAAGAGATTAAGCCATGTAATATTTAACTCATGTTTCACTCTGCAGTTTTTTTTATGTCTGACAGACCAATGAGTCACCGTCTGGTACTGAGAGTATCTGTTTTAATCGGCACCACTTTACAAAAACCCAAACATATCTGACCCAACGCCGCCCACTTACATCTCGACTTTAGTCAAAATTCAGTCCATTACGTCTGTGCGTTATAATAGCAAGGCTGCTATTGATGAAAAAAAAATTTTTTTTTGAATGGATATATTTTAGTGTACAGTTTAGATTAATTGTGAATAAAGCAGCATAAGTCAGGTATGATGAACTGAAGCCCTCAAAGCTGAGACAAAATGCTGCATACCTTTTTAGATTTAGTTTACGGAAAGCTGTTGGCCACTTTTTTTTCCCTTTACTTTATTTGTTTTCTAACTGGTAACCCTTACTCAATCAGATTTCATGTGTGTGTTTATTTTATGTGTTGTGCAGGAATGTAAGCTCAGCAGGTGAAGAGGCGAGACGGCGGATGCGTGAGTGTGATGGCCTTACAGACGCTCTGCTCTACGTTATCCAGACTTCTCTGGGCAGCACAGAGATCGACAGCAAGGTCTGCAGCAGAGTCACTCTGAACATATTGTCTTTGTATTTTTAAACTGGAGCAAAATGACTCTACTGTTTCCTTTTACAACAAACACACTGAAGAAAAGAAATCATTTTACCAAATGAAAGGAGGCAAGAAATTGGTAAAGTTTATTGGATGAATTTTATTGAAACTTGAAAAAGTTAATAATAGATAGATTGTTTGGAGAACCATATTTTTCGGACTATAAGGCACGCCAGATTATAGGGCGCATTAAGCGAAACAAGTTCATTTTAACAGATTTTTGAGCACTGTGTACCACATAAAATCAGTTTGAGGTCAGTAAGCACAATCAGAATTTATGATTTAATGGTTTATCTGTTTAAAGGTTGAATGAATGAAAAAATAGATAAGGCGCACAGGATTATAAGGCTCACTGTCGATTTTTTTGGGGAGAAAATTAAAGGATTTTAAGTGCACCTTTATAGTCCAAAAAATACGGTAATATAAGTTCAACATGACTAAGTCTTAAAATTAAGGCCTTATGGGTCATTTTGACCCAAGGGCAGCAGGAGGATTAAAACTGACATACAATGCAGCGGGGGATATGCATTCCTTCAAAGTACATTTGACCTTTTTTATAAAAGCAAATAAAGAGTTTCTGAATTGAACCATTTCTTGGGATCAAAGTGGAATGATTTTGTGTTTACTGTGCATTTTTCTATGTTGGTGTGCACTGAATGTGTGTGCACTAAATATTAAATAAAAAATCTATCATAGATGACTGATTCTCAAGGTCTCCCTGTCTCCCAGCCTTTTAAAACAGCCCATCCTTAATCACCATTTAACCATCCTCACCTCACAGCGGTTTGACTGCCGTTGCCAGAGGAATGCCGTTGCCTCGGTAACTAAGACTGATTGGCGGCTGAACCACCAAATGGTCCGGGCTGCAGTGGAGATCCACATTATCTATGAGTTCAGTTTGAATTATGTCTGCCTTTCGCTTCACACGTCTGCATCTTTCCTCAAACGTTCTGCTTCTCTGGGTTTTTACTTGGAACTGTGCTAAAATATAGATCTTTTAAAATGTAAATTCATATTGCAGAAAGCTGAAATGTTGGTAAATGTTTAAGTAAAAGCCTGTCGTGCTATTTGCAAGTCAAACTAAGTTTTCACTGACACATTTAACTTGTGATTTCTCTCAAGAGATAACTTTCTGTTGCGAATTGAGGCCATACAAGCAAAACTAAACATTCTCCCCGTCCTGGCAGCTGAACATATAATTTAGATGTTCTCAACACATAACAGGTCTAGTTCCTATATGGAATCTGGAAATGCTAAATAAAATAATAACATTAAAATAAAAAAAAAGTTTCAGAGATTCATTAAAAAATTAGACGATTCAGAATGTTTATCTTTTTTTCTGGGCAAAGCTTATTTAAAATGGAATGAGGTGAAGTAGCAAAATATGACGCTAAATGAAAATTTGATATGTCATTTTTTTAAACTGAAACAAAATATAACTATTCTACACACTGCAGACTCCTGTCTAAGAGAAATAAGTATCTTTAGGCTTGTTATCTGCACACAGAGGCTGTTCTGGTGTGTTTTTATGCATGCCACTGACGGCAGCATTACTGCAATGACAAACTATTTGTACAACTTTTTAAAAGGGGTATTTGAAATTTATGGTATTTTAATACAATATGTTCAGAAGTTAAGAAAATGTAAAAAAACACCAACTACAAAACAAGTGGGGTATTATTAAAAAGTAAATAAATCTATTTAATGTGGTTCATAATGTTCAATAAACTGGAAATATAAACTGAAAAATTAACATCTAATTCACCATATTGAACAACATTTTTTATATATTTGTCTCTCAAAGAAAAAGTTAAAACATATGGGACAGCTATAACTAGAAATATGTGTCACAATCAGTTTTGTGTTTATTATTCACAATTTAATTGATCCTCATCGTCGCACCTTTAGATTATCAAATAATTTTAAATCTGAGGATAAAGACGTGCTTTTTTTCTGCCTGATATTTTTATTTTAAAATGCAACTAAATTTGAACAGCATCTGCATGATTTTATTCATGTGTAATGTACTTTTATGGTTATTAAAATAAATAAACAAGCTTTTATAAGAAACGTTATAAAGCCCAGCTTCAATGTGGCCTTTTTGATCGGGCTCTTTCAAAATAAGATGATTTTTGCAGGTGAACCAGTGGAGCTGAGAACAGAAGGCTCTTCCTTACTGTCATCGTGTTTAATTTTAGCCAGCTCCCGTGAGTAATGGATAAAACGTGTAATTTTTGTTGGACTATTTGTGGATTCAGTTGTACACCAACTTAAAACATCTTTTAAAATGGATTTAAAATGCTATTTTTCAAGCATCGGCCACATAATAAAAGTGCTCCTTTGTAATCAGATGACAGTTTCACATTTTAAAAGAACTGAAAAGTTGGAGGAAAACGCTGCGTCTCGACCACATCAGCTCCACTGTAAATTTACCCTCGTAACAAAATGGACAAAGTTAAAGCATATCGCATACTTTCCCCTGCACTTTACACCAGACAGGTCATTTAAGGTTGTCCTATAAGGGAAAGTCTGGAAAACATTTCTATAGTTTACTTCTACGCAGTTGGAAAGTGCACAAATGCAATTACTCGCTGGAACATTTAAAAGGTTTAAACTACCTTTGTCTACGGTCACAAAACTCTGCCAAGACTCCATTCACTTAAGAGAAACCCTAATTAAAAGTGATGGTGAAAGACTCAAAAGACCTGTTCAACATACAGCTTAATGCAAACATTTGCAAGCCGTTGCCAATTATACCAGCTTGTATTAATAGCAGCTATTACTTTAGTAGACGTTTACCCATTAACGTCACCTAATGTAAGTCTTAGAGCGGGGTCAGCAGAATCTGAGAACCTGGAGTTGTATAGAAATAATACCAACAGAATTGCTTGTACACCCATAGAAAGTATTCAGCTGTAGGTCAGCTGACCCCGACCTTTGACCTTATGTAACATACAAACAAAAGTCTCTTCGGTTTCTTAACCACGATCGTAAGAGTTCAGAGTAAATGTGAAACAACAGATCGAAAATATGAAATGCCACGGTAAATTACGAATCAAACAGAACTTCTCCGACGTTGTTCTGTAATAGAATGTGAATAGAATTTCATTCATGACTGCAGCTCAGCGGAGTGAGACATTGTTTTCTTTGTTGCGTCTCTCGAGGCTGTTCAATTACACTCCTTAGTCGTCTTTGTGTAAGCTAACGGTCAGACTGAGAGAAGATTGATGATTTGTCTTTGATCATTTCCACTCCGGCGACTCGGATGCCTCCACGTTTGTGAATAAACAACAAACATTGTAGGACATGGTTTGCTCGTGTGCAGAGACACACTGGCTCTGCGGCTGCCGGGTTCGCCTTTAAACTGAATGTTAAATGAGGTGTGAGATGATATATTGAGTTTATCATTTTTCCTCATTTACTTGAGGTTTTTTTTTTTTTCTAATCTTATTTCAAAGTTAGTGCAAACAAAATGCAAAAACATATTTCGGAGATTATAGTTTTGCTTTTGTTTTGCTTCTGATAGTCTCTTTGTCTTGCTCATGTATGTTAGTAATCGTAAAAATCAGAATGAAAGCGTGAGCTCCCTCTACGTTTTTTATTAAATTACATCAAAGACAGTTTTCCGTTGCGTGATTCTCACTTTTTATTTATGTCTCCGTTTCTTTCTTGCCACCACCTCCCGCCTCACTGCACCTCCTCGACTTGCTCCGTCTCCAGACGGTAGAGAACTGTGTTTGTATTCTGAGGAACTTGTCGTACAGACTGGCCGCTGAGACGTCCCACGGCCAACAAGGTGGTTTGGAGGAGCTGGACGGGCTGCTCTGTGATGCCAACGGCTGCGAGGGCGAGAGCTCCGGCTGCTGGGGGAAGAAGAAAAAGAAAAAGAAGGGCTCCGACCAGGTAAGAACAACGATAATAAGAAAATAAGACCTGGAAGTGTTTGATTAACTAATAAATTGAGTCATGTTTAGGACAAAAATAACTAATTAGGCCTCATTTCTCAAGCTAAACTCATGAAGACTGCAAAATGATCGAGATATTTTAACGTTTCAGTGATGAACAGATGATGAGCCCTCTAATAGGGTGGTCCCACAACAATTCGGCTGCAAAAGTGTGCAAAAGCTAAAGCAGGATTGGTATGCTAAATGCTAAACCTGACTAAATGGTACCTATATGAGCGTAAAGAAGACAAAGTAGGGCAAGTATGCTAAAGCAGATTTAATAAAATAATAATAATTTGAAGAAACCGAAGAAGAACTGGGTTCAGATTTTAACACATGGGTGCAAAAAATGAAAAGTAGCTTTTTATGATGAAGCAGGAACATGTTGTGATTAACTGAGGAAGCATCGTGTTCAACAGAGATGTGTGGTGAATAATATAAAGCAGAAATGAACATCACAGATCACACTGTACCCGTCAGGCTGAGGATAAAAGAGATGGGGTTTTAATATAATTCATGCCAGTTATCCCAAGTTTTTAATTACATTTTACATAATTAAACATTTTTTTATTCAAAACTCATTAACGTCAAATTTCAATTTTGTCCTTTTTTTTTATTTCTTTGCGTCCACACATCTCGTAATGCAAAATTGTTGATCTGTTTAGCTCATTTTAGACACACAACACTTACATGAACAAAATTCTGTTTTCGCTTTATTTATCTTTCTTTGTAGCTTTTTCTTTTTGAGATTTTAATTTGTTCAAGTTTAAAAAATGTTTTGCTCATCCAGATCATTTATATTCTCAGTTAAAAACACATCATCCTTTTTTCGTCCAACACTTTGTTGAAAACGTATGAGAACTTTAAGCTGGGAAACACTGCAGGACTCATTTTTATGCACCCACTGAAGGCGACTCAATGACGTATTATGGCATATTATTTTTCAGGCCAAAAGCAGTGTGCTCAACACAATGGTACTTCTTCCAGTTATTTAACTGTTAATAATGGTGTACCACAAGGCTCAGGCTTAGGACCCATTCTCTTTACAATATGCATAAGTAATGTAGGTCAGAACAGTCCTGATGCATGTTTGCATTTCTATGCCGATGATAGTTGTTTATTGTCGAGCTAAAACAGCTGTTAAGGTTTTCCAGCCTTTACTGTCTGCATTCGACATCATTCGGTCAGACTTGTTCCATCTCAAACTGGTGATAAAACCAAAGGGATGTTGTTTTCAAACAGAAAGTTGGTACCAGCAGTCCTTCCTCCTATCTCATGTGTTCCTATTGAGTTTGTGGATTCTTACAAATACTTGGGAATCTTGGGCGATGCACATCTCTCTTTTAAGCCTCATGTCAAAAACTTGATAAAGAAACTGAAATTAAAATTGAGTTTCTTTTTCAGAAATAGATTGGGGCAGCATGATGGCACAACTGGTAGAGCTGCTGCCCCTCAGTGAGCAGGTCCTTGGTTCAAATCCCGGTCCAGGGGCCTTTCTGGGTGGAGTTTGCATGTTCTCTCCGTGCATGCGTGGGTTTTCTCTGTGTACTCGTTTCCTCCCGCAGACCAAAAACATGCATGTTAGGCTGATTGGTAACTCTAAATTGTCTCTAGGTGTGATGAGAGAGTGAATGGTTGTTTGTCTCGTTTGTCTCTATGTCCCTGTGATGGACTTGTAACCTGTCCAGGGTGTACCTCGTCTCTCGCACAGTGATTGCTGGACATGGGCACCAGCGACCCCAACATGGAAGAAGCGGGTAAAAGATAATGGATGGATGGATCTTGCTTCACTCTGAATGCTAGGAAGTACTTTGTAGCTGCTACTTTCTTTCCCTCCATTGACTATGGTGACATTATTTATATGAACGCTCCTGCAAGAACCTTGCAGATGTTGACACGCTGATTCATAACTGGCTGTAACTACCGTACCCATCCCTGCATTCTGTATTCACTGGTCAACTGGTCATCATTAACTTCACACAGACTCTCTCACTGGTACATTTTCACGTATAAATCACTCCTTGCTTTGCTGCCTTCATGTATCTCCTCCTGCATGTCACGTCATCAGTGCAGCTACAGCGTGCGCTCTCAAGACATCATTACCTGCAGCGTCCCCTCAGTGTGGACTGAACTCTGCAAAAATGGCTTTTCTTACTTTGTTCCTGCAACCTGGAACACCTTGTACATCTTATACAGAGTTTATACAACCATATGATAATTTGTTGATGTGCATATAATATGTCATTTGTGGTTTCCTTTTTTGCCAACTCAATACAAACTAGCAATTGTGTATTTTTGGTTGCTTTCAAAACAAGAACAAGGGACTGCAGCTCATTAACTCGACTGTTGCTTTGTCTCATAAAAATATATACCTTCACAAGTTACAAACAATAAAATAAGCAACAGAACCCAGATTTAACGTGTCTCATATCAAAATGGCTGCCAGTGTTAGTTGATGAGTTGTGTATCAGGTTTCATTCAATGTAAACTTTTAGATTCTTGTTGTGACACATCCAGGGGTACTCTGTTATTCATGGAGACAACTTTCTCCTGGGCAGAACTCGGGGTTACAGTTTACCAAAAGGAAGCACTGAGTGTTACTGACAGGCACACAGCAGGAGGCCTAACCTGAACAATCAGTGCCATGAGACTGGATTTAATTTGAGATAAAGACTGAAGCAATATGTAAATTTGATTCAAAAATACTTTATAAATCCCAAAGGGAAATTAAATGTTGCTGTAACTCATCATCCTGATTTCATTAAAGAGTTGTTCTAGATGCTGATGGCTGTGGGCAGGAAGCATCTCTTGTAGCGGTCTGTCTTACAGTGGATTTGAAGAAGCCTCTGATTGAAGACTGTTGTTGTATGACAGTCTGATGAAGAGGATGCTAAGGGTTGTCTATAATGTTCTTGATTTTATGACGAATCCTGTTTTGTACAATCATCTCCAAAGGTTCTAGAGGAGTCCCCAGAACTGAGCCAGCCTTCCTTATGAGCTTGTTGATCTTTTTAAGTCACTTGCTCTGGTGCTGCTCCTCCAGCAGATGATGGCAGAAGAGACAGCGCTCTCTACAACAGACTTAGAAGATATGCAGCATCTTGCTGCAAACGTTGAAGGACTTCAGCTTCCTCAAGAAGTACAGTCTGCTCTGTCCCTTCTTGTAGACGCTTCACTGTTGCATTTCCAGTCCAGTCTGTTGTCCGGGTGAACCTCAAGATATTTATACTTCTCCACCACCTCCACTTCTTCTCCCATGATGGAGATAGTGTTTGACTGTTTCTCCTGAAATCTACAATCATCTCCTTTTGTTTTGTTCACATTCAAGATGCCACAAAGCGGTCCACCAGTTCCCTGTACTCAGCTTCTTGTCCATCTCTGATACACCTGACCACTGCAGAGTCATCAGAATATTTCTGCAGATGACAGGAGTCTGTTTTATGCTGGAAATCTGAGGTGTACAGAGTGAAAAGGAATAGTGAGAGTACAGTCCCCTGTGGTGCTCCTGAGCTACTGACCACCTGATTATACACGCAACCCTTCAGTCTTAGAAACGGTGGTCTGTTTGTCAGGTAGTCTTTGATCCTGGTGATCGTTGAAGCCTCCACCTGAGTCTTCTAAAAAAACAAACAAGCAAGATAAAAAAAATAATTAAAAATAAGTTGAGAGACATGAACTGTATATTGGTCTTTAATTATGTATTGAACTTTAGAGATAAATAACAAAGCCATGAACTACCAAAACATGTTTTACTGCACTGGATTTCTGGTTTTCTGATACAGTCTTAGAGGTTTATGAAAACGTTAGCAGACATTTGGCGCAATTAATACATCTGCAGTCTTCGTGCGACTTAGTTCGCTGTGGCGACCGCTGACGAAGGGACCAGTCGAAAGAAGAAGAATACATCTGCTGTATGTTTTAAAGTAGTAAAAAATATATAATTATCCCTCCAGCCATTATCTTTTGCCTGCTTCTTCCTTTTCAGGTCCCAGGGGTCAGTAGTCCCCATATCCAGCCATGTGCAAGAGGGGGGTACACCCTGGACAGGTCACAAGATATATAATTGTCATAAAAGATAATTAAAGTTCTACAATTGCTTGAAGGAATGCATATTGTCATAAACCATATATTAGCAAGTTGAGTGGCTATAAGATAAAGGATCTTACATTTTTAGGGAGCATTTTCAGAATTTCAGGCAGACAAATCCAACATCATTATTATTTAGTGTGTATTAAATCTGCAGTACAGAACACAGTTGGATGTATTTGATGTTTTTTCTTACCCTGCCTCTGCACTTCGTACTATAGAAGGTCTTTGATTTGTACGATCTGAGGGTCTATGTATTTAGATTTTTAAAAAGTCGACTCAGGCACTCCACAGCAGCTCTCTGAAGGCACCGTGTAGTCTAGTTTACCTTGAGACATGAGGGAGGAGGAAAATCGGTACAACAAAACTGAGAGGGGCAACAGGGAGATGAAAAAACAAAAGTTGGAGAGAAAGAGATGGAAGTAAAAGATAGACAGATCTGGGAAAGGAGGAGAAAGGATAGGAAAGAAAAAAGGGCATAAAAGACAAAAATATCAATGAAAGGTAATGCAAAATGAAAATTTTTGTTTCTCTCGTAAGAGATGTAAAAATATCACCAAAGGACCAAAGACTCTCCACTGTAGTGAAACAAGTGATGGTGAACTTACAAGCATGTGTGTGGCTCAACTGGGAGGAAAACAAAATTTTAGTCCAATCTTCATGTGTCTTTCTTTCTTCATTTACCCTTTCTGACCTCTTATAATGTTTCATCATTCTCCCCTACCCATCAACACAAATAAAGGTGGATGAAGCAACTCCATTAACTTTAACTGTCCAAAGCTGAAGTCAAAATGTCACATTGTTATATTTTTGGAGCAGAGACTGAGCACTAAGAATGCACCATCAATACAAACCCCCCCGCCGCCTCCTAACAGGCTGTCACATTGTCAACCACAGTGTAATATGACAATATTCTTTTGTCAAATAAAGATAAACTGAACAAAATGATTCTCTCCGATCCACTTTAACTTATTGAGAACATAAAAATGCAGTGCAAGCTGCTGAAGGTGATGAACAACAAGGCTCATCTTCCCCAGAACGTTGTGATTCAACAACCAAATGCGTTTAGTCTGAGACTTCTTGAACTCCAAAGTTATACAGTGAAAGAGATTGCTGCCATAAACAATTATCGTTCCCTGTGACTATCAACTGTTGTCAACTGCATCTGGTAAGTAATGTAGCAATCCCAAGTGACTGTATCATCAGGAAGGAGCATGAGAAGCTGGAGAAATACCAAGGGCTTAAAGAAATTCATAAAGAAGTTGTGGCGAGTCAAACTGGTCATCGGAGCACTCAGTGCCCTGATCCCAAACTGGAAGAGCGGCTCCAACAGATCCCAGGAACAACCTCGGAGATCTCTGTCCAGAAGAGCACAGTCCTAGGAACAGCCAAGATACTGAGCAGAACCCTCAAGCTCCCAGGCCTCTGGTAGAAGACCTGAGTCCATCAGTCTCATCTTGTCACATTATTGAGTCTGACCAACATATTTCTGGTCTAAATTGCTAATAGAAGCATAAGCAGGATACAACTTAAACATCAAATTTGGTTTCCAACGGAATTATTGAAAATTCTGTAATAAGAGGGTAATAAGATTTCTAAGCAAAACCCTGTCAAAGTTCATTCAACTACGTCTTTATAAATGTGTTTTTGCATTAAAAAATCTCTCCTCTTTTACAGTGGGATGGAGTGAGCCCCTTTCCAGACACAGCAGAGCCTCCCAAAGGGGTTCAGATGTTGTGGCACCCCACCATCGTCAAGCCCTACCTCACCCTGCTCTCTGAATGCTCAAACCCTGACACCCTTGAAGGGGCAGCCGGGGCCCTGCAGAACCTGGCTGCAGGCAGCTGGAAGGTAACCACAAACTTCAACTTCTTTCCCAAACTGTCTACCTTCCTTTTACTTTTTGGGACGATTGTGGCTATACGCAGATATGATTACCAATAAGAACAGAGACCAAGACTCTGAATCGGTTTACAGTGTTTATTTACAAGGTGAGATATATGCAATGAGCCTATGCAAATTGTATCCAATCAACACAGTTTACCAGCAGTGGGTGTAAACTAAGTTGCATAAATTAATTTTGATTATCACTCCTCTCCTGAAAAGTTAGAGGTAAAAACAATGACTGCTTTGTTTACCCAGTAATACCTTGTTTAAAAAAAAAAAAATCTTCACAAATGTAACATTTGTGTTTTTCACACAATAATTGTAAACAACGAGGGCTCTGTCTGAAGCTCTGGCACACTGGCCAACTCCCATCATTGCCATGGTGATCACACGCCTCTTGTTGTCCTGGGGGTATGACAAAGTTCTGTCCTCCGTTGAATGCAGATTACAGAGGTGCTTGACGGTCTGACACAGGTACGAGAGCTGATAAGCTTTGAAGGAGGTAGATCATGTGAGGAGTAATTTTGTCTGGCTTGCCCAGGAAAGGAAGTAGATTAGAAAAAAGGGGTTTTAATTACCATACAGTCATGTCCCTGAGGCCAGGATGCTGACTCACCCTGACGCCCTGATAAACATAGAACACGACTGTGTAACTCAGTTACATTGTACTCTTCAGTTAGCTAAATGAAATAATGTTTGTGTTAAATCTTACACCAATGAGCAATTATTAGACCATTAGACTCTCTAAAATAATAATCTAAAACAACACATCAGTTTTATCTTCAACATTCAGTGCATTTTTGCATTAATATGATTTTTCTATTTTTCTCCTGTTTGTTAAAACAATGTCTAAAATAATGAACCAGTAAGGAGGAACTATTGGAAGTAAATTCGAAATAGATGTTTTTTGTCATGAATAAGCTTATTTTCACAGCAGGCAAATGGTCGTCAGACTGTTTCAAAGAGGTCAAGAGTAATGACAGTATTCCTTATTCCATATCACACTGTCATGTTTATTTATTTATTTATTTTTCTTAATTTGAGTCGATTCTGCTGAGCATAAATGAGTTGCATTAGCTTTGCTGACTGCGACAACCTGGTGATTTGTAGATTCCCATTGTGTTTTTTTATGCCATACAGTAAATGATGTTGTTGTAGATCAATGCAATTGTATTTCAAATGCTCCAAAAACTCAAATCAGCAGGGAGTAGAGTGGGTCAGGTGACTAATGGAAGCAGCCAGACAGTGATGATGTGTGACTCTTGTGGTCTCGGTGCTGTCAGAGGACCGTGGAGGCAGGTTTTTTTTTTTTTTTTTATGTTCTTTTATGGTTTGCCTTGAGGGAGGTTTACAAGAAGGTAAAAAGCAAAGAACGAAAGTGTTAAAATCCTTTCAAACAACAAGGCTGGTGTAAATGGGACAAATGGTTAGTTTTTTTTGTCATTCGTATGGCGTAAAAGAAATAACCTCTTTCAGAGGTTTTGTTGTACCAGAAAATTTGGACACAAAAGGGGGTGACGGCTATGGATTGTGTTTGAGAGTCAGCTTCATCAGTCCTGCAGATATGTGTGTGTGCAATGTGCTTGTAACTGATTGTGATTAGGTAAGTGTTTTCATTGATAGCAGTGTGGACAAAGAGAGCGGGAGTGTGAGAGAGAGATGGAAGAGAAGGGCTCTAGAAAAATCAATGGAAGAGGCAGAGGGAGAGAGCAGGTGGTCTTCAGGATATCACATTTTCTATGTTGGTGTCACGCTGCATGCATAAACTGACAGTGTCCTTGTGTGCATGCATTTCTCCAGGCATGCTCCCCTCTCTGTGCTTTGAGAACCACTTCCAGTGCCGACACACTCTGCACTTTAAAATCTTGGCTTAGACAAATGGTTTTATCTAAGGATGAATTATTTCCTCAGAGGATAATGCATAGTTTTATTTAACTGTTTTCATGTTTGCACAACTAAATCCAACACAGACTTTGAAAGTAAAAAACAATGTCAGAATTATTTGAGGTTAGACACGGAAATACCTATACTTCCATAGCCATTTGATTTTAAAGTTCTTTGGCCCCTAAAGATTCAGTTTCTAGCATTCCTTTCAGCTACTACCACATAACATTTTAGCTTAATTTCAGTGTTTAGTTGATGGTGAAGCTCTGTTAACGTCGTCTTCCCTGTTCTCCATGTCAGTGGTCGGTGTACATCCGGGCTGCTGTCCGTAAAGACAAAGGCCTTCCTATTCTGGTGGAGTTACTGAGGATAGACAACGACAAAGTGGTGTGTGCCGTCGCCACCGCTCTCAGAAACATGGCGCTGGACATCAGGAACAAGGAGCTCATTGGTGAGTAGTGATCCACATCTGGATTGTTTTTACAGCTTTTTATTAAGATGCTGCATCAGTGATATTGCTGTGGAAAATACAGAAATTAACATTTTCAGTGAAAATGCAGAGTAAATGTTGAGCACTAAAGTAATTTGCAGGAATTTGTAGGAAAAGCCAAATTTGATTTAATATGCTAAAAATTGCCAAACTGTAGCTAAAATCTAAAATTTGAAATGTGTTTTAAAGTATATGTTAGCAAGACTGCAGGTAAAATTAGCTAAAACGTAACTTAAAACTATAATTTAAAAAAAAAATGGCAAAAGGCTACAGTTTGGAAAACTATTCAGTCAATCTTTATTTATGCAGGCTGGTCTCATTGAGCCACAAGGACTCATTTACAAGAGGGACCTGTTCCAATAGCTAGCTAAAGGCAAACTTTAGCCAAATAGTAACAAGAAGCTAAAAGTAGCAAAACCGCAACTGAAAGCTACAATTACGGAAGTGGCTAACAACTTAATTTTATAAAACTGTAGCTAGAAGCTAACATTGTCAAAGCCATAGCTAAAAGCAAAAAAGAGCAAAACCACAGTTTAAAGCTTAAATTGATAAAAACTGTAGCTCAACGCTTAAAGGATCGTAAAAAAGACAAAAATAGACAGTTTAATTAAGCAGATTTCCAAAAGAACAATAGTTTTCAAATAACTAAAAATATAAGTGTTTCTAAGAAAACCTTTTTTTAAAGTTAATTATCATGGACATAAAATTTCCAAAAAGCAGATCTCATTGCAATTTACAGTAGTCCCTCATTAAGCATGGGGGATCCATACCTGTAGCCCCGCGATAAGAGAAAAACCACAAACTAGAGATACAGTAGTTCAAGTTCAAGTACAATAAACTTTGTATTAAGGCTTTAGAAACCCTTCCCACACTCTTGGAATGTTCTAAAATCTTAAACCTACGTCATTTTAACAACATATGTTCCTAAATTTTACTTACTAGCTCTGCAGAACAGCAACAGCTCTGGTTCTTGTCCATCTCTGTTTTATTACGATGGTTCGTTTCTGTAGACCTATCCTGCAGTAATGAAGCCCACAAATCAATCCTCTAAACTCTTAAACCTACTAATTTTAACAACATACAGTACTTATATGTACAGGAGCTACAAATTTTTATGTACAAGGGCTCTGCAGAACGGGAGCGGCTCTGTTCTGTACAACCCCATAAATGAAAAAACTCCCGGTGCAGCATGGCTGCTGCTCCAGGTGCAAAGCTGCCCCGGATTTAATCCACCACCTCTGGCCCGGTCTGGACCAGCACTCCGCAACCAGAACCAGGCTGAACCCTGCAGCCGTCTGTCACCTGCAGCTCCCAGGATCCGGGTCACACTGAGTCCAGATCAACTGCAGCCCAGCTACTCAGCAGTGAAGATACGTGAAGGATGAGTTCATCTTGAGAATTATTTCTTTCCTCCTGCCAGTTCTTATTGTTACTTCTGACTTTGGTTGCAAAACTTTCCCTCCGTTTGCAGCAAGCAGTAGTTGGAAGCAGCGTTGACTTCTGGGAAGTGAACTGATGGCTTTTGGGTGATGTCGTTCTTTAGACTGGCAAAACAGTGAAGGCTTAATGAAAGAAAACTACAAAATGACAGCGCCTTTTTTTTTGGTTTTGGAAAATGTTATGTACAGTACTGTACTTAAACAAACCGTGACAGAGCGAGTCCGCGATAAACGAACCGCAACGTAGTGAGCGACTACTGTATTCCTTACTGAGCTGAATACTTTGATTTATAAATGGCTAAAATAAAGTGTGCAGATGTATGGCTGCAAAAAAAACATTCAGACCAAACCATAATTAGAAAAACCGGTGTAAATGGGGGATCTGAATTCCCACACTTTTAACACTAACACTTTTTTTCTATCACTTTTGTTTCTTTTTTTGTTTTATTTGTAATATCAGTTGATTAGGGCATGCTGATATCACTCTTATTGGTTTAGATGGAGCTAAATGTGTTTGGTGGTGTGTGAGAGAATGAGAATATTACCAACGGTGCAGTGCCAGCTGTGAGTTTAGGGAATACTGTGAGTTACTGGGAGAGGAAAGCTGAAGAGAGTGGAGAGAAAGCAGCAGATCAAAGGCTTCCATTGGTCTTTGAAATGCTGGTAATGAGTGAACCCCAGTCAGTCTGCTAGAATCAACACATCTGAGGATTGGAGATCATTAGCCAACTTGACTCATACATTTTGTGTGTGCATTCGGTTTGTGTCTACAAGTGTGTTTACGTATGAGAGGCTTCCTTTTTCTCTGCTGCCGTCGCCTCGTTGCAGCTTCGGATGCGTTAGCAGGTCAGCCGAACCCAAAAACATCTGACTGCACACACACGCACAAATGATTCTGTGCGTGTGAAACACCTTGCCTTATATTGCCAATATCTCTGATCATCACAGCATCTTGGTGGGTTCTGTGGTTTCTATAGCAACCTTGGCACCCTCCGTTTCACGCTGGAGGCTTCCGAAACGTATCGCAGCTTTGCAGCGAGTTGTTGTTGCTTCTTCGTGCGGAACAAGAAGGAATCATGCCGCCAAAGCTTAACACGCCCCCCTACTATGGTCTGGATGAGAGACAGCAACAGATTCAAGAATAATTAGTTGCACAGAAGCTTCACTAGTTTTCAGTGATCCTTGATCTTTTATTGGTTTTTTTTTTTCGCATCTTCAATTGCTGAATGTATTACGTTAATTTGCGTAATTTGAAAGCAATGTTGGACAAAATGTGTTTTCCAAAATGTTTTCTGTTGTTCAAGGCATTGACTTCTGCGTTGTTAACTTTAAAGACCTAGCATTCTTTAAATGAATGCATATTGCAGTTTTGGTCACACCTGCATGCAATACTGAGAGGTCACACTTAAAACATGAGTTGTGAATGATATCTGCAAAACTGACTAGTTTATAGCCTTTTATGTGTTGCTGTAGCAGATGAGCTGTGGCAGTCAGCTTGAATTGGATTGACTATAAGTTTAAATGTACATCAGAATACTTTTTTCCTGAACGCTTCAACGAAAATATGTTTTGCATGATTGTTTTAACAACACAAACCTTTTTTTGTTAATAGCTACATGGAATTGATGTTTTAGTTCATGTTTGCCATCAGCCACCTTGCAAAACAAAGATGAGGATGACACTTCAAAACAGGAACCACCTGAATGATCTAGTTACTTGCAAATTGACATAAGTAAAGTTCAAACTTATTTAACATTTTCAGTCAAACTGTAGCTTTGCTTCTCTATTTGCAAGTTAGCATGTGAATCTTGTGTGCAGAGTGGTTTGAGAAGCAATGCAAAACACGAGTCAGCATTTATTTACCATTTTTACAGCACTTAGAAATTACCTTGAACTTAGCCGTTGTATTTTAGATTATAAAAAGTGTGTGAAACTCTGTTTGACCATATACTGCAGAAGATAGCATATCCTCATTTCAAGCTGCTTTTAGTTGAAATTCACTTTGTGCAATTGTCCAAGTGTCAGTGCAGAGACTTACTTTGATCCTCTCTAATTATTAAAGCTAAGGCATTATGCTGTTAACACTGCGGCGAGCTCTGCTCCATTCTTTGGACATTTCTATTGATGATTATCCCACCAATCCAGTGCAGTTATGGTGTTCCAGCTTCTCTAAGAACAGTCTGAGCAGCTGAGCTGTTAACATAATGACACAAACAGTCATCTTTATAGATCGTATATCCAAACTAGAGGAATGACATTTTCTGCAGAATGCTGAATGACTGCTGAAATTTGCTGAAAAGGGACTTGTTGACTAAAGAGTTCACGTTCAAACAAACAGCTCAGAAGCTAAAGATAGCTAAATCTACATGAAAGCTTAAATTAAAGCCAATATTAACCAAGTGCTCAAATTAATAGACAGTAGCTAAGAACTAGAAAATAGCAGGGCAGTAGCTAAAAGCTAAATGTTGCAAAACCATAACTAAAAGCAAACATTTGCAAGACACTAAAAGCAAAAAAGGTAAAAATAAAGACAAGCATAGAGCAAGATTAGTAAAGATGATTTCAGTGAACAATTGATTTTTGTAAAATCTGAAGAGATCTTAGTATTTCCAATCAATTATTGTTTAAATAAAGTTAAATAAATCAAAATGTATACTAGTAACAAGTATTAAAAGTCACAGCACTTGAATTCTGTCTGATCCATATCATTTGATATTTGAATAATTAAAATAGAACTGTAGTGTCTAATGTCCCTCAGAAGACGAACCGTCTTCAGAGACAAGAGACTGTATGATGACCCCCTTTCTGTGTGACTCCTTCCTGATACAGGCCCCAAGCTGTATGGTAATTAAACACCCTTTTCTCACTAAACCTCCTTCCTGAGAAGACAGATTTGTGTCTCTAAAGATAAATCTATAACAATTGAACTTTGCCACATCACCCAGGTCTTTGGTTGCCATGACAACCAGGAAGTGACCCACCATTTGCACAGAGCTTCAAACAGAACACCTGTTGTGTGCGTTGTGTCAGGACCCAAACTTTCATTTGTTAAGAGCGTAGGTTTATCCAAAAACAAGGTGTTATCATTTAAACAAAAGCTATTGTTTCCCTCTGAAACTTTGAGAGAAGGGTTATATGTTTAAAATTAATTTATGCAGCTTGTTTACACCTTGGTGAGCTTCAGTGATTGGTTAAATCGAGAGGCATGGTATCTTCATAGTGTCAGGTAATGCTGACATGAGAAGACAGTTGGGGAGAAGTTGCCCGAAGTCAGTCAACATAGAAATGGAGAGAAGTCCTTAACTTGCTCAGGCACCCTGGAGCAATGGTACTGTCTGGCCGGATGAAGTTCTGGAAGAGCCCATCACTTTCTGGAACGACAAATACCATTTATCGTATCATTGTAGTAATGAGATGGACAGCTCTCCGGTAGGATAAAACATCTTCTGATGGAAAAGAATATCTCAGTGCCAATGATGTTTCTTAGAAATAATTTAGTTCACAAATCTGAGATAAAGTTTA